TTTCGATTTCTTCAATTTTTTCAATGTTTCTTTCGATTTTATAATTTTTTATTTATTCAATTTTTCAAATTTTCAATTTTTCAATTTCTCGATCTTTCAATTTTTTAATTTCTCAATTTTACAACTTTTGGATTTCTATTTATCCGATTTTGTGATCTCTTTAATTTTCAAAATTTCGATTTTATAATACATATTTAATTTTTTTGATTTTACACATTTTTGATTGTTAAGATTCTCAATTTTTCGTTTTCAGTTTTTCACTCTCTAAGTTTTTAATCTTTGGAAATTCAAGTTTTCGTTTCCTCAGCTTTTCAAGTTTTTGGTTTTTATTCTTCATTATTCCGATTTTTTAATTTTCAGCTTTTCGTTTTTACAATGCAGTGTTCGTTATTCCATTTCCTTTATTTTATCAATGTTTGTTTCGATTTTATATTTTTCAATTTTACAGTTTTTGGATTGTCAGTTATCCGATTTTCCGATTTGTTTAATTTTCAATAATTCGATTTTACAATACATATTTCGTTTTTTCGATATTACAATTTTTCACCTTTTAAGATTCTTAATTTTTAATCTTTCTTTTATTACCTTCGACCTATTTTTTGACATCACAATTTTTTTTCATATTCTTTCATTTTCCAATGCTTCGATTTTATAATTTTCCATTTTTCGATTTTTCAGTTTCTAAATTTTTAATTTTTCGAAATACAAATTTCCGTTACATCATTTTTTCAAGTTCTTGATTTTTATTTGTCATTTTTCCGATTTTTAATTTTTAGTTTTTCGTTTTTCCATTTTCTTATTTTTTTCAATGTTTCTTTCGATTTTATAATTTTTCGTTTATTCAATTCATCAAATTTTCAATTTTTCAATTTTCCAGCTCTTGGAGTTCTAGAGGTATCCGATTATCCGATTTGTTTAATTTTCAAAATTTCGATTTTACAATACATAATTTATTTTTTGGATTTTATGCATTTTCCATTGCTAAAATTCCGAATTTTTCAAGTTCTTGATTTCCAATTTTTTGAATTTTCAAAGTTTTCATTTTATTCTTTTTCGTTTTTTCGTTTTCGATGTTTCAGTTTCCGCAGTTTTTCTAGTTTTTGAATTTTATTTTACATTTTCCTGATTTTTTAATTTTCAGTTTTTGTTTTTTATATCACAGCTTATCGTTTTTCCATTTTCTTAATTTTTTCAATTTTTCTTTCAATTTTATAATTTTTTGAACAATTTTTCAAATTTTCAATTTTTGAAAATCTGGATTTTCCAATTATTAAATTTTTCAGTTTTGCAGTTTTTGAATTTGCAGTTATCCCATTTTCCGATTTGTTTAATTTTCAAAATTTCGATTTTACAATACCTACATAATTTATTTTTTGGAGTTTATATATTTTCCATTGCTAAGATTCCGAATTTTTCAAGTTCTTGTTTTCCAATTTTTAGAATTTTCAAAGTTTTCATTTTATTCTTTTCCGTTTTTTTTGTTGTCGATTTTCCCGTTTTTAAATTTTTAAGTTTTGTTTCCTCAATTTTTCACGTTTTTGATTTTTAATTTTCACTTTCCAAATTTTTTAATTTTTAGTTTTTCGTTTCTCTAATGCAGTTCGTTTTTCATTTCCTTTATTTTTTCAAAGCTTCTTTCGATCTTATAATTTTCCGTTTATTCAGTTTTTCACATTTTCAATTTCCCAATTCCTCGATTTTCCAGTTACTTATTAAATTTTTCAATTTTGCAGTTTTTGGATTTTCAGCTATCCGAGTTTCCGATTTCTTTAATTTTCAATTTTTCAATGTTTAAGTTTCTCAATTTTTCATCTTTCTTTCATTTATCTTCGACTGATATTTTTTTATATCACAATTTTATTTACATTTTCTTTAATTTTTCAATATTTTGATTTTACAATTTTTAATTTTTTGATTTTTCAGTTTTTGATTTTTGAAATTCAAATTTTCGTATGCTCATTTTTTGAAGTTCTTGATTTTTATTTTTTATTTTTCCGATTTTTTAAGTTTCAGTTTTGCTTTTTATAACACAGTTCGTTTTTCCATTTCCATTATTTTATCAATATTTATTTCAATTTTTTAATTTTCAGTTTTTCGATTTAATCATTCTTCGTTCATTTAATTTTTCCAATTTTCAATTTTTCAATTTTGCAGCATTTAGATTTCTGGTTCTCCGATTTTCTGATTTAATTTTCAAAATTTCCATTTTATAATACATATTCCATTTTTTGGATTTTACACATTTTGGATTCAATTTTTAACCTTCCGATTTTTTCAGGTTCTTGATTTCCAATTTTTAAAATTTTCAAAGTTTTCATTTTATTCTTTTTCGTTTTTTTTTTAATTTTTCGAAATTCAAGTTTGGCTCCTCAATTTTTCAAGTTCTTGATTTTTATTTTTCATTTTCCCGATTTTTTAATGTTCAGTTTTTCGCTTTAACACAGTTCGTTTTTCCATTTCCAGTATCAATGTTTCTTTCGATTTTATAATTTTCCGTTGATTCAGTTTATTAAATTTTCAATTTTTCAATTCGTCGATTTTCCAATTATTAAATTTTTCAATTTTGAAGTTTCTCAATTTTTGAATCCTTCGATTTTACAATTTTTCATTTTTTCAATTTTTCAAGTTCTTAATTTTTAGTTTTCAGTTTCCCGATTTTTTAAATCTCAGTTTTTCGTTTTTATGTCAGTTTTTCGCTTTTCCATTTCCCTCATGTTTTCGATGTTTCTTTCGATTTTATCATTTCTCGTTTATTCAATTTTTCAAACTTTCAATTTTCTTTTTTGATGTAGGTAACAGTTTTCTTTTTTTCGTTTTCTTTCATTTTTCAATGTTACGATTTTATAATTTTTCATTTTTCGATTTTTCATTTGCTAAATTTTTAATTTTTCGAAATTCAAGTTTCCGTTTAGTCAATTTTTTGTTTTTTAATTTTGCAACTTTTTGTGTTTCTAGTTATCCGATTTTCTGATTTGTTTAATTTTCAAAATTTTGATTTTATACTACATTATGGATTTTACGCATTTTGGATTGTTAAGATTCTCAATTTTTAACCTTCCGACTTTTTCAAGTTCTTATTTTCCAATTTTTAGAATTTTCGAAAGTTTCATTTTATTCTTTTTCGATTTTTCAATTTCTAAATTTTTAATCTTTTGAAACTGAATTTTTCGTTTCTTCAATTTTTCAAGTTTTTGATTTTTATTTTTTATTTTCCCGATTTTTTTAATTTTCAGCTTTTCATTTTTATAATACGGTTTTTCTTTTTTCCATTTCTTTTATTTTTTTAATGTTTCTTCCGATTTTATCATTATTTGTCCATTCAGCCTTTAAAATTTTCCATTTTTCAATTCCTCGATTTTCTAATTAATAAATTTTTCAATTCTGCAGCTTTTGAATTTTCACTTATCCGATTTTCCGATTTGTTTAATTTTCAATATTTCGATTTTGCAATACATATTTCGTTTTTTCGATTTTACAATTTTTCACTTTTTAATCTTTCGATTTTTCAGTTTTTCAATTTTCCGTTTCTTCAATCTTTCGAGTTCTTGATTTTTATTTTTCATTTTTCCGATGTTTTAATTTTCATTTGTTTGTTTTTATGTCACAGTTTTTCCTTCATGTTTTCTATGTTTCTTACGATATTATCATTTTTCGTTTATTCAATTTTTCAAATTTTCTATTTTTCAGTTTCGCGATCTTCCAAATTTGGAACTTTTTGTGTTTCTATTCATCCGATTTGTTTGATTTTCAGAATTTCGATTTTACAATACAGATTTCATTTTTTCGATTTTACACGATTTCGATTTTTAAGAATCTAAATTTTTAATATTTCTATTTTTTCAAGTTTCCAATTTTTAGATTTTTCAAAGTTTTCATTGTATGCTTTTTCGTTTTTTCGTTTCTGATTTTCCTGTTTTAAAATTTTTCTATTTTTTTATTCGTAAAATTGAAAAATCTAAAAAACCAAAAATTGCAAACTCGATAAATTTCAAACCAAAAAACTGATGAAACGAAAAATTGGAAAGAAAAAAAAAACGAATCGAACTGAAAAATTATAAAATCGACAAAATCGTAAAGTTGAAAAACTGTAAAATTGAAATCTTGAGGAACTGAAAGGTCAAAGAATTGGAGAACTAAACATCGAGAAATCAAAAAATTAAAAATCGAATAATAAAAAATTTTAAATTCCAATAATTGAAAACTGTAAAGTCGTAAAATTGAAAAAAATTTAAATTATTAGAAACTGTAATTATTATTACGCATTTAAAATGAAAACGGAAAAAAATTGAGGAAACGAAAAATTGAAAAATCGAAAACCTGAAAAATTTTAAATTGAAACAGATACATTAAAAAACCTAAAAGTTGAAAAATCGAAAAATTGAAAAATTTGAAGAAAATAAAAAACCGAAACAAAAAATTGCAAATCGAAAAAATTAAGAAATGATACACAGAATAATCGAAAAGTTGCAAATTGAAGGACGGAAGAATCGAAAAATTTTGAAAACGCAAAAATTATAGAATCGTCAAAATTGTAAATTCGAAAAACTGTAACACTGAAACACCGAAAAACTGAAAAATTAAACATCGAAAAATTGAAATATCCGAAAATTCGAAAATCGTAAAACTGAATAATCTAAAATTCTAAAAGAAAATTAAGAAATTTATATGTTAAAAAATTGAAATTTGAGAAAATTAAGTAAACAAAAAAGAGATGTGACTGAACCAAGACGGTAGTAAAATTCTTTAAAAATATCTGCCAACAATTCAGGTTTATATTTTAACACTTTTATTTAAATACTTTGGAAAAAGAACGTTTTATTTATGAATACTTCAAAATTTGAGTGAGTTATTACCTCGTTTGAAGCGAAATAAACAATTTTACAACCTAGAAATAGATAGATTTACGTCTACGTCTGGTAAACAAATTTGATAAGACACCTTTTTTGGAGGGGTATACAGTTATAAATGGTCAAAGGAGGAAATAGAGCCCAGAGTCTTCAAATAAGTTGTGCCATAAATGGTGGTGTTGTTAAAATAGAGGCAAGTGTTGAAACTCCATGCTTGTTTAAATAATTTGAAACTATATATTACTCTTATCGCATTTTGCATTCTTAGTAGTCGATATAAAAATAAAAATAAATGTTTGGTTATTGATTTCTTAGGCGAGAAATTGGTTAAACATCAACAGTTTTTAATTCATCCCTTCTAAAAATTTGATGACGTGCATCCTAAAATCTTCTAGATAAATCCTATAATCATACAAATAAACGTCTTACACCCAGAATTTGTTGAAGATGACAACAATCAGCAAAATCGACATGGATGAAGAGGTAATCCCACAAATGTAATATTATGTCGTCGGTTTCATTTTCTTTTGTTTCTTGATTGCAGATTTTAGCACGACCTATTTTACACACTCTCCAATCTGGGCCAGAAAACCGCAACATTGTGAAACAGTTCGTCCGCTCCTTTAATTTTTGGATTAAGTGCCCCAAAGATGCACGGAAAACATTTATCGAAGTTGGAGATGGATTCCAAGATCTTTTTGTCGTGTAAGCTTAAAATCTGTTGTAAGTTCATTTATCTCATTTTTTTTTTCGTATTTTCCTAGGTCGGACGATATTTTGGACGAAACAATACTTCGCAGAGGAATTCCTGCAGCCCATTTGGTTTATGGGGTTCCACTGAGCGTACGTGCTACTATATACAGGGGAATTTTATTATTTCAAAATTTACTGAGTTATGCAGACGATAATAAGGTAATGCTGTTTTTCCTCTTCAAATATTTTGATCACAAACCAAAACGTTTTTGTTTAGGACATAGCTCTTGATGATCTCATTAGGTTGGGTATTCATTTCTTCACTGGACAAGGGCTTGAAATACACTATAGAAACATCGACAAATGTCCTACATTTGATGATTACAATGTGATACTGCACCACAGTAAGTTCAAAATTTTACTGTTTAATAGTTTGTTTGTGTATAACTTTTTTCTTACTATCACTCCCGGTAGAACCGGAAATGGCACCAACTTGTTTTTTTTTTTAATGAAACTTGAGCGTAAGTTCATCGGGTGACCTGTCCCTTTCATGTTTTCTCGACGTTTCATGACCTCTAGAGTACGAGAAACGTGGTCTCCGATTTCTGTCTGTAAATTAGAATTTTCTAAATGTTGTGGTTTATGAATCCGTTATGAATTTTATCCTAGACATCGAGTTTTTTGGAAAAAAAATCAAAATTATAGATATCAAAATTTTTCGATTACTAGAATTTTCAGTTTTGGGATTTTTTAGCTTTTCGGTTGTTCAATTTCTGGACTCTTCAAATTCAATTTCTTGCTTTCTTAATTTTTTCGAATTCTTAATTTTGTCATGTATCAGTTTTAGGTCTTTTTAATTTTTCTTCAATTTTTCGATATTTAAACTTTTTAATTTTTCAATTTTTGGCGTTTATAAATTTTAGATGTTTCAATTTCTCAATGTCTCGATTAATTGACGTATTGATTTTCTCGATTTGTCGACATTTCAAAGTTCCGTTGTTTTCAGTTTTTCGTTCTTCTATTTTTCAATTAGTCAATTTTTCGTTTTTTTGAATTCGATTTCTATATTTTTCAATTTTTCAATTTCTCAGTTTTTCTGTTTCAGTTTTTCCTATTAATTGACTTTTTGATCGTCCCGTTTCTAGAGTTGCCGATCATTCAAGGTTTAAATTTTTTCAGTTCTTCGATTTTTCAATTTTCCGTTTCTAGATTTTTAATTTTTGTTATTTTTTACTTCCATTTTTTGACTTTTCGATTTTTCAATTTTTCGATTTCTCAGTTTTTTTATTTCGGTTTTGAAATTTTTATATTTAATTTTTTCGATTTTTTGATATTTGGATTACTCCATCACTAGATTTATCGACTTTTCGGATTTCGCTTGTTCGATTTTCCAATTTTTCGATTTTTAAAATTTTTATTTTCCTATTTTTCAGTTTTTCAAATTTACACTTGTTCAATTCTTCAATTTCACGATATTTCAACTTTTCGATATTTGTATTTAATTTTTTTTTTTCAATATTTTGTCCAGATTTCGTTCGATTTTTTGATTGCTCAATTTCCGGAATTTTCGATTCTTCAATTTTTCGATTCATCAATTTTTTAAATTTGAATTTTTCAATTTATCCGTTTTGGCTTATTTCGATTTCTAAATTTTTCGATTTTTCGACTTCTCGACTTTTCCATTTCTTGATTTCTCGATTTTTTGATGTTTCAGTCTGTAAATATTTCGATTTTTCCTCTTTTCGGTGTTTCGATTTTCCAATTTTTCGAAGTTTCGATTTTTCAATTTTTTCGATTTTTCAATTTTCGCTCATTTCTGTTTAGGACTTTTTTAATTTCCCGAGTTTTCCGATTTTTGCTTCTTCAGTTTTTCAAGTTTTCAATTTCTGCGATTTTTTCAATTTTTGGCTTTCGATTTCTCAGTTTTTCGATTTTTCGACTTTTCAAACTTCCAATTTTTCCATTTCTTTCATGTTTTGAATTCTCGATTTTTCAATTTTTCAATTCCTGAATATATCGTTTTCTCAATTTTTCTAGTCCTTAAATTTTTTATTTTTTGATTTTTTAAATTTTACAATTTTTTTTTAATTTTGGATTTTTCTACTTTTAGATTTGTCTATTTTTCAGTTTTTCAAATTTCCAAATGCTCAATTCTTCAATTTTGTGGTTTTGCAATATGTATTTCTATTTTTCAATTTCCCAATTTTTCAACTTTTCGACATTTTGATTTTTAATTTTTTAAAATTCCAGATCTTTCGATTGCTCCATTTTTCGATTTTTCAATTTTGTATTTCTTGATTTATCTAGATTTCGATGTTTTGATTTTTGATTGCTCGATTTCCGGAACTGTCGATTTTTCAGTTTCTGATTTTGAATTTTTCAATTTTTAATTACCTTATTTTCCACTTTTGGCTTATTTCGATTTTTTAATTTTTCGATTTTTCGACTTCTCGACTTTTCCATTTCCCGATTTCTCGATTTTTTGATGTTTCGTTTTTCAATGTTTCAGTTTTTAAATATATCAATGTTTGGATTTTTCCATTTTTCGGTATTTCGATATTCGAATTTTTCGAAATTTCAATTTCTCAATTCAGTTTTGGGCTTTTTTTAATTTCTCGATTTCTCAGTTTTTTGATTCTTCAATTTTTTGATTTTTTCATTTCTGCGATTTTTTCAATTTTGGGTTTCCGATTTTTCGATTTTTCGGGGTTTCAATGTTTCGACTTTTCAAATTTTCAATTTTTCGATTTTTTCATTTCTCGAATTCTTGAGTTTTCAATTTTTCGATTCCTCGACATATCGATTTCTCAGTTTTTCTAATTTTTAAATTTTTAAATTTTGAATTTTTCGAGATCTTAAATTTTGTACTCCTATTTTTTAATTTTTGAATTCTTCACTTTTTTAAATTTCCAGTTCAATTCTTCAATTTTGTGGTTTTGCCATATTTCCATTCTTCAATTTCTCCATTTTTCGATTTTTCAGTTTTCCATTTCTCGATTTATGGAGATTTCGATTGTTCGATTTTTCGATTTACCAATTTTTTTTAACTTTGAATTTTTTAATTTTTCACTTTTTAACCATACGATTTTTCCAATTTAAATTATTTCGATTTCTGAATTTTTCGATTTTTCGACTTCTCGACTTTTCCATTTCTCGATTTTTTGATGTTTCGTTTTTCAGTGTTTCAGGTTTTAAAAATATTTCGATGCTTCGAGTTCTCAATCTTCCCTCATTTAGTTTTGGGTTTTTTCAATTTCTTGATTTTTCAGTTTTTTGATTTTTCAATTTTTCGAATTTTCAATTTCTGCGGTTTTTTCAGTTTTGGGTTGTCGATTTCTCGAATTCTGGTTTTTTCGATTTTTCGAATTCTGCATGTTTCGAATTCTCGATTTTTCAATTTTTCAAAATCTCGATATATCGATTTTTCATTTTTAATTTTTTAATTTTTAAATTTTTACATTTTTTGATTTTTCAATTTTTCGGTTTTACGATTTTTTGATGTTTCGATTTATTGGCACCTCGGTTATTAGATTTTTTATATTTTTCGACTTTCCGGATTTCCCTTGTTCGATTTTTCAGTTTTTCAAATTTACACTTGTTCAATTCTTCAATTTCACAATATTTTAATTTTTCGATTTTTATATTCAATTTATTTTTCAATATTTTAACTTTCCGATTTCCCAATTTTTCGATTTTTCGACATTTTAATTTTTCAGTTTTTAAAATTGCAGATTTTTCGATTTTTCAATTTTCTATTTCTCGATTTATCCAGATTTCGTTGTTTCGAGTTTTTTAATGCTCGATTTCCGGAATTTTCGATTTTTCAATTTTCCATTTTGGCTTATTTAGATTTCTAAATTTTTCGACTTCTCGACTTTTCCACTAATTAATTTCTCGATTTTTTGATGTTTCATTCAGTAAATAAGCGATGTTTCGATTTTTCCAATTTTCAGTGTTTCGATTTTCCAATTTTTCATTTTCCCTCATTTCTGTTTCGGATTTTTTTTTCCCGACTTTTCAGGTTATTGATTTCGTAGTTTTTCGATTTTTCGACTTTCCAAATTTTTAATTTTTCCATTTCTTTCATGCTTTGAATTCTCGATTTTTCAATTTTTCACTTCTCAATTTTCCTAGTCTTTAATTTTTTAATTTTTCAATTTTTTTAAATTTTACATTTTTTGATTTTTCAATTTTACGATTTCTCATTTTTGTGACATTTAAATATTGAAAACTTTTCAATTTCTGGATATTTTAATTTATCTATTTTTTGTTGTTTGAATTACTCCATCACTCGATTTTTCCACTTTTCGGATTTACCTTGTTCGGCTTTTTAATTTGTTGATTTTTAAAATTTTTGATTTTGCTCCAATTGTTCACTTCTTCAATTTTGTGGTTTTGCAATATGTATTTCTATTCTTCAATTTCACAATTTTTCAATTTTTTTGGGATTTTATAATTATTTTTTTTTGATTTGACGTTTCGAGTTCCTAATTTCTCAATTTTTCAACATTTTAATTTTCCAGTTTTTAAAATTCCAAGTTTTTAGCTTTCTCCATTTTTCGATTTTTCAGTTTCCCATTTCTCGATTTATGGAGATTTCGATTGTTCAATTTTTCGATTTACCAATTTGTTTTAACTTTGAATTTTTTAATTTCTCAATTTTTAACCATACGATTTTACCAATTTAAATTATTTCGATTTCTGAATTTTTCGATTTTTCGACTTCTCGACTTTTCCATTTCTCGATTTTTTGATGTTTCGTTTTTCAATGTTTCAGTTTTTAAATATTTCGATGTTTCGATTTTTTCACTTTTCGGTGTTTCGATTTTCCAATTTTTCGAAGTTTCAATTTTCCCTCATTTCAGTTTTGAACTTTTCAAATTTCCCGATTTTTCAGATTTTTGATTCTTCAATTTCTGCTTTTTTTTCAATTTTCGGCTTTCGATTTCTCAGTTTTTCGATTTTTCGACTTTTCAAATTTTCGATTTTTCCATTTCTTTCATGTTTTGAATTCTCGATTTTTCAATTTTTCAATTCGTCGATATATTGATTTCTCAATTTTTCTAATTTTTAAATTTTTAAATTTTCAATTTTTCGATTTTTTAAATTTTACAATTTTTGATTTTTCAATTTTTCGATTTTATGATTTTTTGTTGTTTCGATTGATTCGTTTTTTATATTTTTCGATTTTTCGATTTTTCTATTTCTCGTATTTTCAAGTTTTCGATTTCTCATTTTTGGAACATTTCGATTTTGGAAACTTTTCAATTTCTATATATTTTAATTTACCGATTTTTTGATGTTTGGATTACTCCATTACTCGATTTTTTGACTTTTTGGATTTCACTTGTTGGGTTTTTCAATTATTCGATTTTTAAAATTTTTGAATTTTCCATTTTTAGAT